TTTTTCTAGTTACTTGTATATAAGAGTGAATCGGTTCTCTGTTCATTTGTGACGCTGAAGAAGAGTGATGGATGTCACTCGAAACGTCCGGAAATAAATCCGATAACCGATCCAGTAGTAGAGTTTGAATTTTCTTAAGCTTGTGTTTAAACATTGTCAAATACATAGTCCACACAATATATATAAAAATCTGTAGCATGCAACCGTTTGACTTAAAAGCATGTGGTTTGCATTTACCACCAGAAGGTCTTGACGAAAAAGACTTATATTACACTTTTTTACATATATGTTCATTTTTTCTTATAAATTTCTGTATATAATGTCTCAGGCGAATTATTTACACTAAGTACTTTTTTTATATTTAACAAATGTAAAACACGACTCTACAAGTTATTCTAGTACATTGTATATAAATGTGAAATAGTTTACGTATTGGTTTGTTTGCCTGCCTGCATACATGTGGTATTGGGGTATAGGACACACACTACTCGTACATTAAACAATAAGGGAAGAAAAAAATCGAGGTAGATTTCCCTCTGACTGAGCAACACGAGATAACAAAATGCATATATTGTTAAATATACATGCCTTAGATAATTAAGTTTTACATAGAGATAAATTGGGCTTTTTACATATAGGGGAGACATTCTATCTTTCCAGGCTGTCTTGGATTTTTTTTATTAATGAGTCCCTTCCGTCTCATGGCTCAAGCTTTAATGCCAAAGAAAAATATTATTATTATTATTTTTTATTTAGGACCATGTACATATCTATTTACTTTTTAACTTTGTTAAGATACAGTATAGTTGTAAATTAGCATCTGCACATAATAAGTGAGGCACATTATTTACACATAATGGAAAACTCTCTAAATGACTCAAAATATTTTGATACATGGTACTCTACATTCTCTAACATTCTTATAAATGAAACAATAAGGAATGTCAAGGCAAAAAAATCACATGTAGAAGCTTTCATTTCAAACGATCCATGAGCTATACAACATAACTAAGTAGTTAAAAAATAAACATACATTCATTTGATACTTCAGATCATGGTTGTTATATTTTGTCTGACGTATTTTGGCGTAGAGGGAAAATATTCTATATTTTCAGGTTCTCTTCAATCTGTTTCATTAATGAGTTCCTTATGTCTGATGGCTCAAGCTTCACTGTCATAATTGATGCTTCTTCGTACAATCTCAAAGCTTCTGTTTCACAACCAAGAAAGGCCATGTTTGCCCCCATGTTAGTAAGTAAATTGGCAATGTGAAGATGTGCTTTTCCCTGACCATGTATACGCCTGAACATCTGCAGTGCCTCTTCGTAGTAGCTATTTGCTGTCTTGTGATCACCAAGACCACACCAGGCTACCCCTAGGTCGGTTAGGATGTTGGCGATGTCAGGGTGTGGCGTTCTTTGACCATGGATACTCCTGTACATCTGTAATGCCTGTTCGTGGTGCCTGATAGCTTTCCTACGATCAGCTAAGTTGAGCCAGACGCGTGCCATGGTCGCCAATAAGAGGGCAACGTCTGGATGTGGTGTGGCCTGACCGTAAATGCCCCTGTACAACAACAGTGCCTGTTCGAGGTAGTCGACTGATTTCCTGTTTTCACCAAGGTCCATCCAGGCCTTCCCCAAATTAAAGAGCACTGTGGCTACGTTTTGATTTGCCTTAGTCTGACCACTCCTATACATCTTCAGAGCCTGTTCAAAGTAGCTTATACCTTTCCTGGTTTCACCTAAGTGAATCCAGGCATCCCCTAGGTTGTTGAGCGAAGTGGCAATCTTAGCATGTGTTGCAGTCTGACCATGGATACTCCTGTACATATGCAGTGCCTGCTCATGGTAGCTAATAGCTTGTCTGTAATCACCATAACAGTTACCCCAGACTGTCCCCAGATTGCCCAGAGACATAGCGATATCAGGATGTGCTTTGCTTGGGCCATGGATACTTCTGTAAATTTTTAAAGCGCTTTCATAGTGAGCGATCGCGTTTGTGTAACCATTCAAATTGTTCCAGGCTGCCCCCAGGTTGTTATGTATATCTGCAATAAGAGGATGCTCTGAACCCTTACCAACGATAGTACGACACATTTCCAATGCCTGTTCAAAGTACTCGATACCTTTTCTGTGATTCCCCATCGCATCCCAGACTTGCCCCAGGTTATTAAGAGATGTGGCAATATTAAAATGTGCTTTGCCCTCACCATAGACACACCTGTACATGTGTAATGCCTTGTCATAGTAGCTGATTGCTTTTTTGTAATCACCCAGATTGTACCAGATTAACCCCAAGTTGTTTAATGCAGTGGCAGTTTCAGGGTGTGGTTTTGTCTGACCGTAAACATTTTTGAACATCTGCAGTGCCTGATCATGGTTGCTTCTTGCCCGTCTATATTCACCAAGGTCATGCAATGCCATGCCCATTGTTGTAAATATATTGGCAATGTCAGGATGTGCTGTATCCTCACCATAGATATTCCTACACATCTGAAGTGCCTGTTCAAGGTATACGATAGCCCTCTCGCTGTCTCGAAGTTCACGCCAGTTCTTCCCTAAAATGCTAAGTGACAGAGCAATGTTAGGATGAACTGCATATTGGCCATAAAGACTCCTTGTCATCTGCAGTGCCTGTTCTAGATAGGCGAGTGACTTTATGTAATTACCAAGACTGTGGAAGGCACATCCAAGGGTGTTCAATGGTATTGCAATGTCAAGATGTGTGGTATTCGGACTGCAGATAGTCTTCTCCATCTGCAGTGCTTGTGTTGCATAATGGATTGCCTTCTTGGGATCTCCCATTCTTTCCCAAAGTGTCCCCAGTCTGTTGAGAGTGGTTGCAATATTACTATGCGCGGTACTTCTACCGTATACTTGCCAAAACATCTGCAGTGCCTGGTCATAGTAAGAGACCGCTTCCTCGTAGTCACTCGCCCTTTCACAAACTGACCCAATGCAGTACAGTAGCTTGGCGATATCAGTTTGTGCTGCGCCATCCCCATAGATTTTCTTTGTCCTATCTAGGGCTTCTTTTTGGTAACGAATCGCTTTCTGATGGTCGCCAAGCTTTTGCCAAGCATTTCCCAACAAGTGCAAGAGAATCGTTCTATCAGTGGCCACATCCTCACTTAAGGCCTTGTCTAGAAGCTCGATGGCCTGCTTGTATTCACATAGCTCAAAGTACATCCTTGCTTGGATGTCAGAGGAGGAATCATACAACTCAGGTATAGAGTTGACTGTCTTCATTTCTTTCAATTTGGACAGAAATGCTTTAAGGGGCAATGCAGTGTAGTAGTATCGGAATAACTGTTTTTCATTCGATAGATAGAAAACCTGCGTCACTGCATTTTGTTGCGATTCATCCTTGCTCTGTACCGGCAACTCCTTTTCACCAAACACTGATTTCATAGAGGCCAAAGCTGACAAGTTTTCCTTCTGCCCACCGTTTGCAATGTACGTTCTGAGTCTGAGTTCTGCTGAGATGCTAACCAGCACAGCTAGATGATGTGCATTTTCAGCACTGACAACTTTGTTCATCTTCATTTCGTCTATAGTCTCCCAAACCGTTGTAGGCATGACACCTGAAGTTAGTGCCAAGCAGTCTACTGCCAAAGCTGGGAAGCGATACAGTCCCTTTTTTACATCCATGATCTGTGCTTTGACTGTTCCCGTGTCGTTGAATCGTTTAATGTTTTCCATCAGTGTGTCCTGTGCCAGTTCAATAGCCATTTTGCCCCCATTAGCTTGAAGTATCTTAACAGTGATGCCCATGTATATGTCAAACAAATTCTGGTCCCCTGATATCAGACATGGGTTTCTCAAGACAGTAGAAAGGTGGTAACCTTTTTCCAGATACATTGTGACATCATTTTGTAACATTGAGGCCATGTTTCCTGGCGTACGGATGAGTTCACTGGGTGGTTCAGTGTTTGTTCCCTGCCTGCCCAGTGGAGTCTTGCTTGCTTTCGGCATGGAGCCGTCAAATGCAAACCCACGTGGTGTAACTGAGTCGTGGTACCAACTGTCACGGGTTTTTTTGGAGTTGAAGTCATTGAGAGATTTTATTCCCAAAGCTGGGAGAATGGTTTCACCCAGGTTGACCACCTTGAGATGTAAAAAATGGGTGAGTTTGCGGAAATACGCAAGGGACTCTTCACTTTCGTCTTCTACCAAAATGGCAAATTCCAGGTCTGAGTATGGAGTTACCAGCCCTGTGGCCTGAGAACCCAAACCCATCAGGGAATGCTTACAAGGAGGGGGGCCTATTACTGTCATACACTCTTCTACAAGTAGACTGATGAACTCCTTCCTATCTGCTGCAATTCTTTCAAACAACTGCCTGACAGCCTGAGCTCGCTTTGCCTCTGTCTCTTTGACACACGAGTCATCTGCATTATGTACATAGGGATCCAGCTGCTGGTCAATGGTTTCCATCTCCAGCTTGATCTGGTCCCGTATTTCCTTCAGCATTTGTTTGTGTTTAGCACTGTTGTCTGGAGTGACAGATTCATGGATACCCAAGGCATGTCTAACAAACGCCTTTTCTGTATTGGTGATTGCTATTCTTATCTTACCATTAACAGCTTCGTCTATTGACCTGACTATAGCTGCATTGTAGAGTGCTGCTGCTTTGACGAAGTCTCCCCCGTCCCCTGTCTGCTGACCTCGCTTACAGTAGACATCACCCAGCTTGCACAGGGGCTCCACCTCCGTCTGGTACTGCTTGGCTGTGGGGTCTAAACATACAGAAAAAAATTTGGCCAGTCTCTAAGTAGTTGGAGAGCCATGTTTTGGTAATGGTGGGTTTCTAGGACTGACAAATTTGCAAAACGTCGACAAACCTATATCAAATTTCATCACCTTTCAGGTAATAAAAGCTCATTGATGAAATTGAATGGAAAAATAGTTAAAAATAATAACTTAAAAAGAAAGGCTAAAAAACCAAAGGTAGACAATATGTGAACTGAAAGAAATAGGGCACAATTTTACTGAGTTTTCCTCTTACCTCTTACATGTGCAACCCTAAGTGCACCTGCAAAGTGCTTCTCTGCCGAGTCCAGGTCTTTTGTTACAAGGGATGCGTCCCCCTTGTTCAGGTAGTCTTGATGCTGACTAGAAAACAGAAGTCAGGCCAGGTCTTTGCTTTGCTTAAATTACAGGACTTTCGTGATCTTTTGACATATTGACTATGTATCTCAAGGCGTACTTTTGAAGTTACAACATAGATTATTGTTAGACTAGGCATCTTAGAAAATGCATTGTCAAAATGCAAAGTCCGCTGAAATCGTATACAATGAAATATAGTTAAATAAAGAATGACTGAAATATCGTTTCAAACTAGAAAGGCAGCTTTTTGCTTCACCACATCCCCCGTGGCTTGAGCACACACCCTGTACCAAAATGGACCTATCCCCCATCCTCACTCAGCCTTGTCCTATACTTAATTTACAAAACAAATGCTTCCCCTCTTTAAGAATGACTTCTAGTGATCCCAAATTATGTTACGGTCCAGTTAATTCAGCATCAATCCATTTAGTGATTACACATTATATTATAATGCATGGTCCAGTTAAAAAAATGGCAACACACATGTGCACTGTAACACACATTGCTATAGTAGATTTCCTATAGCACAGCCCAAAAGCCCATATAAAACCATTCCAAAGCCTGTATGAAAAACAATATGTCTTCACCACACCACTACGTGGTGTTGATGAAGCCATAACAATAATTCTCACCAGTTCGGGTCTGTATTGTCCTCAACAGCAGCAGCGGCTACATCTGTTCTGCTTTCCTGGATGCTGCTACAAACAAGATTCTTGATAAATATTGGATGTGGCTTATGTGATAACATTCAATGGAAGCCGGTGGGTTGCGCTGGAGGTTATTGCAATGGTATTTATTTCTAAATTTCAAGATATCCTCCAGTCAAATATGTGTGTGTGCATGTGCATGTGCGTATGCATGCGAAAGAGAGTATGTGTGTGTGTGAGAGATTATGTGGTAACTATTTTTCCCAACATTTATGTGCGTGTATCATATGTTTCTGTGTATTTGTATATGTATATATATTACGTAATACATGGATGTGTGTCCTGGTTTGTGTATAATTGTGTGCGTGTGTAGTGTGGTGTATGTTTGTGTGTGTGTGTGTGTGTGTGTGTGTGTGTGTACTGTATGTGTGTGTGTAGTGTGGTGTGCATGTGTGTGTGCGTGTATGTGTGTGTACATGTGTGTGTAGTGTGGTGTGTATATGTGTACGTGTGTGCAGTGTGGTGTATGTGTGTCGTGGTGTGTGTGTGTCGTGTGGTGTGTGTGTATGTGTATGCGCGCGCGTGTGTGTGTGTGTGTGTGTGTGTGTGTGTGTGAGGGCTGCCAGTACCGTCACAATGTGCCAGATTCTTACCTCCCTGAGGTTTGTCGATCGCTGGCAGGTTTTGAATGTTTCTTCAGTATTTGCTCTATGGTTTGGCTGCTTTCTTCTCTGTTCGGTGTATCTCGCAACGGCCGCTGCAAAATCCAACCAGATGTATTAATGAGTGTTCCTATCTTTGTAAATAGTTTTCGTGTTATGTGTCTCTACATTGTTTTTGTAGCAAAAAAAAAATCTAAGGCTTATCCTTCGGAATTACTCGGAATGCATGCTTACATTTAGGTTGGTGATTGACCAAAGATAATTGTATACATAGTCATTAATCACTTTCAGGTTCGACATTACATATATTACAAATAAGTCATCGGAATAATAAGGAAGCTTGATCATGGTAATTTTATCAAGTTGCTTGATTAATTTAAGATTACACGAGCACTGCCTCTTTGGTTTGAAAATATATTAATACATTCTACTCACACTTTTTGCTTCCCAGACTTTATTCGTGTACCTAATGCGATGGTGTAAAGTCTCTTCTACCTCAGGTCGGGCTGCGTGACCCATACCTTTGAGCAGAATCTCTATGAACAGGGCCTTGTTGTACATTGTGCCAGCCTTGATGAGTTGTGCTTTTTGACAAGTTTCCTTTCCCTCTGCGAGGTACAAATCCCCAAGTGATTTTAGGATCTCTTGTTCCACGAAGACGTCTCCTTTTGTGATGGCAGCTACTAGTTCTTGTGTGTATGTGTCCTCAGCAGACAGAAAGTCTTGTTTTGCTACCTTTTGGTCGATTCTGACACAGATTTCTGCTACTCTTACACAATTTTGGTCAGGAGTGCCCCAATAATCCGGTTCGAAATACAGAAACTGGGGAATGTACAATTGGAACAGTTTCATGGAGAGATTGGTCATGTAATCTAAACGATGTTTAAGTGTTTCTAGTATATTTTTATCTTTAAGACGCATCAATGCAGCACTATAGAGCGCAGAAGCCTTGTCAAATTCTGCTGAATGTCGAGCAAGTTTGCCTTTCCGTAGATGTAGGTCTCCAAGACTTTTCAGGACTTCTATCTCAGTAAAGTGATCATTGGCAATAATAGCTTCTCGAAGTGCCCGCCCATAGTTCACTTCTTGTCCGTGGTGACTCCTGAGGCACAACTCCAAGTTCTGCACCTTGTCTGCTAAGCTAGTCCTGTCGGTCTCAGACATGTCTTCCTTTGCTCCGATGATTGACTTTTGTGCACCTGGGGACAGATTTACTAATGAGAAGTTTAGTTTATTGCAAACTCTTGCCCGGGGGCTAATTGCAAGTCATAAACATACAACAATATCGAAACAGACTATAACTATGTCTAAAACTATGTCTGAAGGGTTTGACTTCTCTTTTGTAAACCGTGGAAGACGTCATGTCCCACCAAAATTTCCTTAATGTGGCATTATTTTACACTGCAGTGTTTTTTTTTTACTCATCGGTGGGAATTTAGAAAACAAGTGTTGCAGTTGAAAAAGAAATACTGGGTGGATCTAAATTTTAAATTGGTCATTACACTTCTGCACAACCAACATGTTCCCAATGTTGTTCTACAATAATTCATCAGTTATTCAATTATGGTATCAAAAGAATGTATTAAGTGGTTTCAAATTGGGTAATAACCGTCTGATACAGTTTTTTCATGTACCATTAGAACGTCTTAGAGGACATAATAGAACAATAAAAAAAGGAACACACAAATCCCAGGCCCTTACACACACAGCAGGAGGCATGATATAAAATTGCAGTCTGTATACTGTATGAAAATGGCCTTGTAATGGTTGGTACATGTTATTACAGATAGATTTGACTAGACTATGAGGTACGAAATTATAGTCAGTAAATTTCAAAGTAAAAGAAAAATGGATCAAAGATATTTACGCCAGATATGATCCCGTGTCCTTACGAATAAACAACAGCACCAGGAAGTCCCCACCCGGATACAACTTCCAAGAAATTACTGTTTACAGCGACAGTGGCTCAGGTATTAGGACTCTGACGTTATGTCAACATGCTTCAGTGAGAGCTGAAAGTGAAAGAGGTACCGACCCAGTTTCTGGCCGTAAAATAAACATTGGACTACAGCAGGACCAAAGAGGGAGTCCAGTCTGCAAGTTAAAATTAACGGCGGAGCACAACAATTGTTGTTCTGCACATACAGTACCATCTATATAACATCCTGTATACTATTTAGGTACAATTTGGGGGTATTTCTCGCATCACACCGCAGCGAAATGCAACAAATGCGGAAGTAACTATGCCACTGCAGGGCAAACGATTTTGGGATCTATGATCTATTTAAAACATGAAATTATTGAAAACTATTGTGCCAGGAATGCCAGCCGGACAAGGGCTAATAATAGTACTACCGATCTATTACTGAATTTTAGGGACCATCGGCTGGCGAAGTTTACTAGACCGCGAACATTGGGTCACTGTTGTACCTAGAACCCTGCTTTATGCAGAACTTTGCTCTGGATAGTCTACGCGTATTCAGAACCCTGTCTGGGGCAAATCTGCTATCCTTGTTACTTAGAGATTATCCAGAACCGTGAATGACACTACTGTTTATTAAACTCTAATCTATTGCAACCCGTTCAGACATTCAGCTAGATTTGCGGGGTTTTGGTACGATTATAAGTCAGGTTTCATGACACAGATTACCTAGTTACCTATCAGTGCCGTCAGACTTGTCTAATGCTTACCTGGATGTCTGAGACTCCGCTGGAACCTGCATAGAGACCTGTTCCTGCTACAGGCCTAGGTGGTGACTGGGGTTTTCTTCTGCTTTTGGTGGGACTTTCCGCTACGTCATTGCCGGAACTTTCCGTTGCGTCATGCTAATGTCAACAGTCTTTGTTACCTGGTACTCGTCTGGAACGCAACAAAGGTCACCAACGGCTTAAAGGTCACCCGTTACCTGATATGTTTACACCCAAAGCCTATCAAGATCACAGACAAGCTTCCTGTGTAAAGTGTGTGGACACATAGTTTGAGTCAATTGGAATGGTAGTTATGTCTTCCCTATATTCCTTGCAGTTTGTGATGGGTTCTGTGGTTAGATATTTATAATATCAACATGAATGATTCTATGGAAATATAGCTACCTTCAAGTCTACGTCTAAGCTACATGTACCCTTTGAGACAGGAGCATGTCATGTATGTATACACTGTTGGCTGGGTATACAACGAGATAATTCTTACAAGTAGTCAGAATATAAGTCCATGTCGCTACATGGTGTCGCCAAGTAATACTAAATGGATCATTAAGGTCTCATTCGTGAGTTTTTGTTAACTATAGCCGCCTATGGCAAAATACGTAACTTTACATAGGCCAAAACCAAATAATTTGAATGACAGCCATCTAGTCTATCCAATCAATTTTGAGCACAATGGCCCTACATTACGTCAAAAAATTCCCAACCAGATCTAACCCAACAATCTCTTTTTATTTATTTATAAACTGCACCTGGCCACTCTCCGCCAGAGGTCCTCCAGCGCTGCTACCTCCTGACCGCATTACCCATCACAACAGCGTGTAAACATCCGACCTGTCGCGCGGATGTCAACACTTACCCACTAATTTTAGCACATACAAACAACCTCTCATATCACAAGCGGTTTACGCCAACTGACTTAGCTAAAATGCAATTTCTGGCGGATATAAACACACATCCATACACGCATTTAATTTTTAGTACGATCTACTTTAGAGTACCCACGCGGAAGAATACCGGAATGAGACCTTAAGGTTACGATTCAAACATGCAAAATGACTAGGTACGCCCTTGCTACTTCTTTCAGCACTCCCTGTGGCTAGTGCCGTCGTTTGGTCCTTTGGGTCCGTGGGGCTAATATTGAGTCGAGCTTAAATGATTCAGGTATTCCGGTGCTTAGATACGCTAACCTTAGGTAATAAATGCCACATTACAGGCCTTAATATTTTAAATCATCTTGATGCCTATAATGTAGGTGCAAATGTTTCACTGGATAGACGCAGACACAATTTGTTACGTTCTGTGCATTTTATTGTTTTTGAAATCATTCTTGTACATCCGGCATTATATTTAAACTGTAAAATCAAGGGTGTTAGACCTCCATTCCACTAAGACTGTACTCTCATGGTGCTATATCTGCGATCTGAAATTGGTTGGAGCGCTGAGAGAGCCGACGTCGCCATTGTTTTCAATGTAAATTGATGTTTGGCTTTTGTGCGCTCTCATTGCTGTCATAGCTCGATTGCCGTTCTCGGCGCCCTCACGGCGATGTTATGAACCTTTAGCAAACAGTCGTCTGGGTGACGGCAATCGTATGGTGACATTAAGGTGATCTCTCCGCGCTCTGGCCGATTTCAGGTCACAGAGAGAGAGAAAGAGAGAGAGAGAGACGTGGGAGCGCCATTGTAGTGGAATGGGGTCTTACTTTAAAGCCTTTTTTTTAAAGAACCCTGTTTTGGGATCGGGCGGATCCAAAGGTCAATGTTTTTATGACTTTGTTTCAGGTAAGTATTGTAAAAATGTCTCGGTATGCTGACTCATTATTCTTTTTAGTGCTGTATACATAATGAAGATCAGGATGTGGCTAGAACGAGTTTTATCAACCCTCTACCATCTTTGATTGTTAATCCACACGTGGATGACAATATTGCTGGAGATTGTCCTTGTCTAGTACGTTGGGATAATTTTTGACCTATACTTCCATGCATTCTATAAGTGTTAATTTGTTTCAGAAAGAATGAAGGAATGCTAAGATTCACGCACCCCCCCCCCCACACACACGACGACACTGTACACACACACACACACAGACACACACACACACACACACACACACACACACGCACACACACACACGGACACACACACACACGGACACACACACAGACACACACACACACACGCAAGCGCGCGCGCACACACACGCACGCGGACACACACATATCGGCATGCATCTATACAAATGAATCAGACTTGTCCACATGAATGTCTCTAAAGTACTTTACTGTGACAAAAATGCATAGTCACAGAAACCTTTACATTGTATAGTAAGAGAAGCTATCACTCCATAATTAATCGTAAATGCGAAATAGAAACAACTTTGCATCATGATGGTCGGAGGCAACCAATACTTAATAATACATTATTTTAATGTTCTCTGTTTGCTTTCTACCATTCTGAAGCAATTTTCAAAATGCCAGTATGAATAAGAGAGGGATAATCTGAATAACACATACAGCTGTACCTTAAAACAATATATCAATGTATGTCCTGCTGCAGTACCTTAGAAAGCCACTAGAAAACCTATAATCCAACAACACCAACCAGCAATTATACCATACACTATAAAGTTAGTAATGCCCAGACACAGACACGGTAAAACGAAAACATAGTATTTACATTAGAAACCAGTTTTGCCACGATGATGAGCGTAAGAAATCTGGATGCTGTCTATGCTGGAAACATAAGACACATATCTTACGCATTAACACAGTTTGAAAGTCGTTTCGTTTCATCAACATAATTGATAGTGGCTTTGAGACCGGGTACTTCTACTTGTACACTATAAGTACAAATTCTAGCATACAGATATTGCGACCATCATACCTTTCGTTGCATTCTAAAATTCATGTGTAAAAAATAACGCAGGTGAAAAATTATTTTTTGCACAACTTGCTGTATTTTATAACCATGATACATCAATATTATAAATAAATTATATAAATTCTTTAAAATCATATAAAATAAATTATAAATAATATTGCTGTATCATGATGGGTATGTACCACCTCCAATGATTAAGTAAGAATCGTGTATTACAGTATGAGTATATGCGACTTATACAGATATTCAATGTGCTTAGAACTAGTCTGTACCTTTGAAATATCAAATCATTTGTTCAATTTAAAAAAAAGCACATGAACATGACAAGCATCCGAAACGAAGCCAAGCCGAGAAACAT